CCTCCAGAAAGACTCTAGAGCAAGACTCTGAGCTCGTGTCATGGTCGGCCTTCTGCAGTGTCGCTCCGGGCCCGGGGTCCGGCAACCTTTCTTCTTCTTCTCCCAGGGTCCTGCTAGGCAGGGCGACTGACTCGATTGCATAGTGCTGCTCGCATGGGAGCAGCTAAACCTACAAGAAAGTCTGACCCATGTGATGGAGTTCCTGTTCTCGGGGCTTGGGTTTAGCATTTGCGTCATTAACAAGAGAGTTGGAGCCAAGACTCACGACGTTCGTGGTCCGTGTCGGGTCGGCTCAAGGCGAAAGGGCATCTGCTGTTCCTGCTGCTGCCGCATCCATCCTTCATCCTCTCTCTTCCCTCCCCCGGCCCCTTCGGAGGAGAGGCGATGCGGTGCGTCCGTCGCTGCTGTCGGTCTCGCCTGCCCGTTGCCTTTCCCACTTGCGTCGGGGAAGTCCCAAAACGCATCCCGCGCCGTTCGCGCCCTGACATCGTCTCGGCCCGCCTTCCCCGCAGTCTCTCCCCCCTCCCCCCCCCTTCCCCCCCCCCCCCCCCCTCCCCCCTCACCCCCCCCTTCCTTCCCTCCTCCCCCCCTGATCCTCTCAAGCAATTTGGGCTCAGAACTCCCATGTTGGCAGCACCTCACCGCGGTGCTTGAGTGGCACTGTTCCAGCGATCGCCGAGCGATTAGCAGAAACAGTGGCCAAGCTGCGCGAAGCAATACGTATCATGACGAAGTTCGGTCCGTGGAGGACATGCCAGAAGCGCAAGACATGGGACTGGAATGGGAAGATCTCCCAGATGCAGGGCAGGCGCAACAAGTGCGGGGAGTACATCAAGCTGCACACGGCCAAGTCCAAAGGTGAACAAAAGGCAGGGCGGCTTCCAGCTGCTGGACCAGAGCCCCGCCAGCAAGGGCACCAGCACCAGCGGCAAGGAGATCGAGCCGTTGAAGACTCTCATCGAGTCCCTCGTGGCGGGCACGGCGCCACGGCAGGTGGCGGCTGCAGCAGCCAAGGCCTTGAAAGAGCAGGACCAGCCGCCCGCCACCCCAGAAGAGCAAGTCAAACGCGCGTCAGGTGCCTGGCGAGACGCCAGCTTGAAGTGCGAGCAGGCCGTCTCCATGGCCCTGAAGTGCCGAGAGGACCTCGCCCGCGCCGAGGAGCGCGAGCAGCTCGCAGCGGTCGCCTTGGCCGAGGCCGAGCGAGTTCGACAGGCAGCGGCGGTGGCGTTCTCACAGCAGGCGTCCGCCCCCGAGAGCGGAGGCGGAGGCTCAGCGGCAGTCTTCGACCTGAAGTGGGACGAGAGCCTCTTCGACGGCGTCGAGGACTTAGAGGGCGTCGAGCTAGCAGAGATGGAGGAGCTGTTCAATATCGCGGCGCAGCTCAAGGGCTACAAGAGCAAGTTCGCGGAGAGCGGCAGCGTGATCGAGGAGCGCCTGGATGGACAAGGCGCGTCAGCTACACCAGCAGAGGATAGAGAGGTTGGCCAAGAAGAAGAAGCAGGCGGCCGAGCAGGCCGAGAGGTCTCAGCAGACGGCGTCGCCGACGACAGCAGCGGCCGCCGCCAGCCACACGGGCGCGCCGGCCACGCCAGGGGCAGCCAGCGCAGGCGAGATTGCCAGCGCTGCGCCAGCGCCGCCGCAACCCGCCGCCGAGGTCAAGGCGGCAGCCGAGGCCCTGTCGCAGCCCAAGTTCGCCGAGATGCAGGCGAAGCGCGCAGCGGCGGCCGCGGCCCCCACGTCGGCGGCAGCGGCGAGCGGCCCTGGCGGCTCAGGCGCGGCGGCACCTGGGCCGACGTCGAAGTGAGAGAAGTGGCAGGGGTCCGAGGCGCCGACGGCAGCGTCACAGGACAGCAGCAGACCCCCAGCGGGGACAGGCACTGCGTCTAGTGCCAAACACATCTTAGTTTTGGACGAGCTCATTCCAGCTACGTCAAGCAGTTTCACATCGACGGCTACGGTCACTCCATCGTCAGCCCCGTGGGCCACCTGTTCGATGGGGATCAGGCTCCAAGACCTCTTCACTGCCCTCAGCAACGGCCCCTACCGCTACTCCGTCGGCCACCGTCGACGCCGAGACGCTGGCCAAGGGTAGCCAGGGCAGCGGGGCTACATGTTCCCTCTTCTTCGCGAGTGTCACAGTCATGGGTGGCACTGCGTGGCGACATCTAGTGGAGCACCAGCAAGCGCATCAATTCTGGGTTTTTGCAGAAGCTCATGTTGGCAGCGACACTCTTTCGAAGTGGCAAGGCGAGGCTCGTAAGGTGGGGTACGAAGCTCATCGCCAACGCTGCCAGGCCGACGGGCAATGCAGCTGCAGATTCGACGCAACTCCAGCATGCCAACGAAGGTGGAAAATGGCTACTCACAGCGGGTCATCGTGCTGTGCATCTACTCGCTGAGGTTCAGCAGCATGTGGGGATGCTGGCCAAGCCTCACAGAGCATGTGACGGCTTTGCTGCCTCGCTGGCACACTTTCAAGGTTTCAGCATAGTAATAATTATCTGTTATGGGTTCTCAGGCGTAGGACTGACAGGTCCTAACCTCACCAGGTTTTTGCGCCTAGGGGCCCCCGTCAAGTCACTGCGTCTCCCTTGGCTGATCATTGGAGACTTCAACGTGCCAGCGCAGAGGCTAGCAATTTCAGATCTCATTCGCTGGATCGACGGTGCAGTAGTCACAGGCTCGGTCACCACCAGCTGCAACGCCAGCGCAGAAGGATCACTCATCGATTACGTAGTCGCGAGAAAAGTTGTCTGCGGTATATCGTTGCACTCGAGTCCGAGACCAAAGTGCCCTGGAAGACCCACGTAGGCCTCAAGCTCACCCTTAGAGCCTCAGGCAAGCAATTCTTGTGCAGGACACTGGAGGTCCCTGCTAGGCTCCCGCAGTCCTCCAGGCCTGGGCATCTCCCCACTCCTGGCTCCAAGTCCTCTTGTGCCAAACAGAGAGCCCAGAATGCTCAGCAGGAGTCGCAGCAGCGTATGATCAAATTGTACGAAGCACTTTTCAGCGAAGCTAGCGCGTCTGACATCCAAGACTCGGTGCCAGCGGCGGCCTCTGTTCCTGAACCCCAGGCGGGAGCCAAGGGCAGAGCCATTTCACAGTCTCTGCAGGAGCTTCGCGAATGGATCACCACCAACGAAGGCGCCAATGCACTGTTCAAGAACCTCAAGGTTATATCACCTAGTTGACGCAGTTGGCCACAAGGCTCAACACGTTCGGAAGCTATGGTCTCCCACACCAGTGGACCGCAGCAAGACGGCATGTTTGTGCAGGCGCATACGAGATGCAGCAGACATCGAGCGCTTGCCCGACACCACACTGCAAGAGCTGGACCAGGCCCTCAAGCGCATGTAGCCGAAAGCTGGTCTGAAGGCTGACGGCTCGACGGCCTTGGACATCCAGCGTTGACCCCCCCCCCCGATGGACGGCAAGAGTTCGTGGACCTGCTCAACTCCATTGAGCTTGAGCTCGCGCGGTCATGGCAGCTGCTTCTCACCATGGGAAGGCGACCCCCAAGAAGAGCAATGGCAACAGGGTCATCGGTTTATTGCGCATGACGCGTCGCATCTGGTCATTGATCAGAGAGAGCCACGTCAAACCATGAGCGGTTGATGGAGCAGCTCATTGGGACGCAGCTCTAGCATGCAACTCGGCACTACGTGAAGCTTTTTAAAGACGCTTCACGAAGAAGTATATGGACATCTCAAAGTCAATTACGCCCATGCTATCATGGACACACAATATTTCTACGACACGGTGTGTTGGGACGGCCTAGTCGAGACAGCGTTGGACCTCAATTTCCCTCCACCAGTCTTAATGCTAGAATCCCAGCTACGCACCGCAGCTCGCACACTAACACAGCTCAGTTCGGCGTCGTGCGCATTCCAAGTGGCACAGTCCATGGTACAGGGGTTGCGCAACGGGACCAGATTCGGGAAATGTTGTACGCATTTCATTCTCCAGAAGTGACCATCGCCAACCCCCTCGTCCGCACGCGCATCTGGGTGGACGACCTCAGCGAGTCCACGGTCGGCTCGGAGAAGCAGGTCTTCCGCTCCATGGCCACGGCAGTCTCAGACACGTTCAATATTTTAGCTCAAGCTCGCTTGGCGGTTGCTTCCAAGAGTGTGCTGCCTGCCTCGAACCATCGCTTGGCCAAGGCAATCAGTTCTGCCTTGAAGAGGCGTGGTCATCAGCTGCAACCAGTCCTACAGGCACCGTGCCTAGGCATCGACCTGTCAGCAGGTAAACGTCACGGGCGGTCCACTCAAAGACAGCGGGTGGTCAAGGCCAGCCGACGGCACGCCAAGATTGTCAAGCGGGCCAGAGCGAGCGCGCAATATCAGGTCACATCCAGGCTTGAACGTGCTAGTGCGCAGACGGTGGCCCACTACGGGCATCAAGTTTTTGGAATGCCCGGCAGCGATCTTCATCGGTTACGGAGTAGATTGGCCGCAGTGTGTGGAGCCAGCAAGCGTGGGCGGTACACCACCACCACGCTGGACTTACGTGTGCCAGGACAGGACCCAGCTATCAAGCTAGGTCGCGAGTGCTTGGCCGAATGGATTAAGTTGTGGACGACGGACAGCAGTATCAGAGGTTCGGTTCACAAGGCATGGCCAGCAGTTGTTTCGCATCTACGTCCGATGGACAGCGCGCAGCGGACCAGACACATTCGAGGGGCCATGGGCCCTGTCATCGTTCACATTTTACAATACGGCTGGGACCCAATCTCTCCTTCGCGATGGCATCTCCCAAGTGACGGGTGCAACGGCGAGGATATCGAATGGGCTTTCCCAGACCTTACTCTCTCAGGCAACGAGGACATTGCGGATCTGCGATTTTGCAGGGTCGATCCGACGACACCTCTGGCGCCAAGCCGCAAGTCACTACTGCGGAGAAGGAGCCGCAGACGGCATTGACATTTATTCATGTCGTTTTTTTTTTTTTTCCCCATCCAGTCGCTGGCAGACGCTCCCAACGGGCACGCCGCGAAGGAGCTCACGCTAGTGATCGCGGTCGGTGGCACATGGCCACGCGAGCGCCTCATGGCAGAAGTTCAAGAGGAAAACGAGCCACTACGCATGTGCCCACGAAGTTACGCCGACGGGACCACGCGCGCAGAGACACCTCTCCATCTGTGCTGGACTTGCCCCCACAACAAGGGCAAGCGCGCTTTTCAGGATTCAGACACCCTTGTTCCAGAAGCAGTGGCGCAGTACGAACAGTGCCCAGCATTCTGGTTCAGAGGACTGACACCGAGCGCATGGACGTCGACCCTACCACCCGCTCGAGATGAGCGATGGGAGTTCGATGATAACAAGACCTGCAGTCCTGGAGCCCTTGGCGTGGGCACGCAGAGCGAGCCAATCCGCATCTGCGGAGACGCCAGTGGGGGCCTAAACACCATGAAGCCTGCACAGCGCCGAGTAGGTGTCGCTCTTGTCACGGTTGCCAGCCAGCACCCGTTTCGCGCAGGTGTCACTGGCAAGATGGGTCTCACAGGGCGGCGTCTGACAGCGTTTCGACGTGAGTTGGCTGCCCTCGAGGCGGCCATCTTTTTGACCAGCGGTCGGCTGGTCTACATCACCGATAATTTGGGAGTGGCGGAAGGTTGGGACAGGAAAATGTTCCTGCGACCGCGTGCTGCAGTCAGCGACGTAGACACTTGGGCCAGGATCGGCCAACATCTGCATGACACGGGCAGAGCAGCTTGCATCATTGTTCTGTTCAATAATTCACATCTCACCGATGAGGAAGCGTGTGAGCGTAGGATACCCTCGTGGATGATCGAAGGAAATCGCCAGGCGGACCAAGCTGCAGGAGAGAGCGCGCTTAAACACAGGATTCCGCCAGGCGGCAGGGCACGCATTGCCCAGATTGAGTTCAAGGATGTTGTAGTCCGCAGGCGTCTCCTGCGGGCTCACATCGACGCAGTGGCTGCCGACCCTCGGCAGCAGAGCGAACGTCAGAAAAGGCATCATCGCCAACCGCCCGCCCCCAAGGTCGTCGCCCAGCTTTGCACACGTCTTGGACGACAGCGGTCAGAGATGCACCATTTGTCAAGGCTCGGCGTCTCAGAAAGCTCTAGTTGACTGGTTGCGGACCCCGTGTTTTTAATTGGAGCCCGCCGACGGAACCCTCTTTAAGGCGCCTGCCCAAAAACAAATACACTGCGCTGGGGGATGGATTCATGAATCTCACACGCTTTTTTACCACACGGATCTCGGCCTGTGGTATTGTGGTGCTTGCGGGTATACAGCGAGTGCTCAGCTCCGGTCCCTTCGAGAGAGGTGCCGCGAGCACCCCGCGCATACCGCCAGAGTGCACCTGTCCAGGATCAGCGCAGGTCTTCGGCCTAAGGTTCTCTTTCGGAAAGAGCGGATTGCCAGAGGCATTGATCCTGATTAATTCATTGTAACGCTTCGCGTTTTCACCAGTTCCAGTTCCAGTTCCTTTTCTCCTCATCCTCATCCTCATATCCTCCTCCCTCCCCCCCCTCCTCCTCCTCTTCCTCCTTTTCCTCCTCCTCCTCCCCCTCCTCGTGAGACGCCGAGACGCTGATGGCACTGGTGTTCTTCAAACGCCGCCGCTTCCCCAAGGGAGGCCCCCCCTGGCAGAGTAGACCAAAACAGAAAAGTTTGGGGCCGGGGCCACACAGACAAGGAGGGAGGGAAGAAGGACGGGCCACAGCATCACCATCATCTCGTAACCTCAGGAGGACGGGAAGGGAAGAGATAACGTGGCAGCGCGGCGGCAGTGTGGCGGCGTGTGCAAGCGTTGGGCCCCGTAAGGGCCCTCTGTGGGTCCCTCCTCTTTCGTGTCGCGTGGCCGGGGTAGGTCACAGCCCTAGAGGGTGCCCAGGGCCCCCCCCCGTAGGGGTGCCCGAGCTGTCAAGGGATGGGGGGACGAGGTGGTGTGCTGCGGCAAGCTGCGGCAGGCTGCACTGGTGCTAAGGGAGGTTGGAGATGTTGAAACGTCAGTTGAGAAGAGGCTGATGTGGTGGCAAGTAGTGTGGCAGTTTAAAGTGGCGCGAGGTGGCAAGACCATTCCGCGGGGCCTCTCTGGGTTCTGCTTGCTGCGCAGGGGAAGGCCCAAGGGCCTCCCCCTCTGCTCATAGAAATCCCCCCACAGGCGCCCCAGAGGCCGACTGCGGGATCCATCGTTTGCACGGAGGCGTAGGGTTCCCAGCAAGCCGGCCTCTGGGCCGCCTTGGGAGGGTCCACCGAGCGTGCGATAGGTTTGAAGCAGCCACCATCCCCATGACTGGTACCCTCCCCCGCCGAGGCAGGAGTAGGGTACCCAAACCACGGGAGTGGTGGTTGCTTGGGGGGGTCCACCGCGCTTGGAGGTGGTTTCTGCAATCCGTGGCGGTGGCCTGCGCGGTGAGAGTTGGGAGTTGGTCTCGTTGCAGCATGCGTTGCAGGCGGTCGAGCACCGCAACTGCTGAAGGTGCAAGGAGGATGGAGGGTGACTGGTAGGGTCCGCTGATGGCTTTTTCCCTACCTAGGCTCTGCCTAGAAGGGTTCTTACTCGCTTGGCTTAAAGGGGCCAGGCAATGCAAACCGCCCCGGGCGGTTCTTCCAGCCCCCTGGGAGCCAAGCAGAAGCAACAGCAAAAGGTAAGAGCAAACGCGCGGTTCCCCCAGTTGCGCTCCCTGGGCGCCAAGCAAAAGCAAGAGCAAAGGCAAAAGTGAAGGCATTATCCCAGTGCGACCCTACCTAGGAGTTGGAGCCCGTAGGAAAGCAGCATTAGTAGTAACAGTAAAGCTAAGCTAAAGCTCAGCTAAAGCTATGCTAAAGCTAAGCAACAGCTAAGCTGAAGCTAAGCTAAAGCTAAGCTAGAGCTGAGCTAAAACTCTGCTAAATCTAAGGTTCAGCTAAGCTTCAGCTAAGCTAAAGCTGAGCTAAAGCTAAGCTTGAGCTAAGCTAAAGCTAAGCAGCAGCTAAGCTGAAGCTAAGCTAAAGCTAAGCTAAAGTTAAGCTACACCTAAGCTACACCTAAGCTACAACTCAGTTAAAGCCAAGCTAAATCTAAGCTAAAGCTAAAGCTAAAGCTCCCAGGGGACTGGGGGAACCGCTCCCAGGGGACTGGGGGAACCGCGCGGGGCGCGTTCCACTGCCCGGCCCCTTTAAGCTAAGAGAGTAAGAACCCTTCTAGGCAGAGCCTAGGTAGGGAAAAAGCAATGGCAAACCAAAAGTATAGCATAGCATAGCATAGCATAGCGCAGCATAGCATAGCGCAGCATAGCATAGCATAGCGAAGTATAGCATTGCCTAGCCTAGCCTAGCCCAGCATAGCATTGCGCAGCATAGCATAGCATAGCATAACATTACTGATGTAGATGCAGGTGTAGGTGTAGATGTAGCTGTAGGTGTAGATGTATATGTAGGTCTAGATGTAGATGTGTAGGTGCCGATGTAGATGCAGGTGTGTATATATATACATATATATACATACATATATAAATATATTTATATACCTATATATATGTATGTAAAGAACTCCCCAGTGCCCCGCCCTCATCTCCGTGCCTGCTTGCTGTTGCTGCTGCCTCGGCGACTTGCTGCCTGCTTCTGCTGCTGCTTCACTTACGGCGTGGCGTCGGCGGTTCTGGCGCTACTACTAGTGTTTTGTTTAGGCTTGCTTAAACAGGGGTATTCACCCACGGCAGTGCAACGGCTGCCCCCCTTCTTCCCCCTCTTCTTCTCCCGCAGCTGTTTCAGCTAGCTTGTGCCTTTTGCGGGAGGGGCCCCTGGCCCCTAATCTCATCATGAAGGGGCGGGGAGGTTCCCACCCCGCGAGCTTCCTGCTGCTCGCCGCGGCCGAGCTGGGAGCCCTGCCTCCGGGAGGGCGCGCGGCTCCCGTGGCTGGAGCGGCCATTGGGGCTGCCGTTGGGGCGGCGGGGACCGTGGACTTCGCCCCCGCCGACGGCACCGACCCCGCCCCAGAGCAGGTAGAGGAGGATGTCTGCATGGAGCCTGAGGGCTACATCGCGCCTCCCCTTGCTGGGCACATCCCCGCGGCCTCGCCCGTGGAAGACTTTCCCCCTGCGCCTTCCTCGTCGGAGTCCCCGGCTGGAGGAGGGGAGGAGGGGGGCAATCGGACGGAGGGGGGGCTTCAGATGATCATTCCTGGAGTATCCAGCGGACCCTCTGCCAGCTGAACGCGCATCTTTCAGCCTGGGCGCCCCGCCAAGCCCCGGAGGCCTACGGCCGGCGCCGGCGCACTCGGGCACCTGGCGAACCCCCTGGAGAGGATCCGTTCCCGGGATGGCCGAACCACCTCCTGGACGGCCTCTTGCAAGGAGGGGCCTGGTTCGGGCTGATGATGTTCGGGGGCGCCCGCTGGAAGGGGTTCCCCCACTGGCTCCAGTACCTCCTGGTCTTCTTCTACCTCCTCTCCGCCCTGGTGGCCTTGGACCTCTTCATCCTCCTGGCCTATGCCCTGGCCCTACTCTCACGGGGCAAGGGCCCTCTGCGCAGGAACGAACACCCGCACCCCTTGAAGGACTCGAGGCTGGTGTGGGGAGGGCCCGCCTCGGGCGGGACCACGCCCAACAAGTTCTTCCAGGACTGGATCCGGGCACGCGGGAGGCACTCCAGCCGCCGCCCGCATGAGCTGCTCGCCATCATTGAGGAGGGAATGGTCCGGATGCAGCGGAAACCGGGCCCCACGCTGCCCGCGACGCGGAAGGGGGGGCAGGTGTACCTCTACGGTGCCGCGCTGCACTGCGCGGACCCCACCCTCCGTCAGCGGCTGGAGAACGCTCGGGAGCGCGCAGTTTACCTGGCGCGGGAGTGGGAAGCGGAGATCCCCCCAGACATTGTGGCGGTCAGCTACCACTACACCGGCGTGGAGGAGGGGCTCGTCCTGAACCTGGAGGAGGCTCTGCCCTATCAAGGCTTCCTCCTGGGCCTCGCCTGCCTCCTCGGCCGCGCCCTCGGGGGCGCCCACCGACTCCTCTGCTCCATGTCCCGAGCCATCGGGATAGACCTGCTGGGGGCGTGGTGCTGTCGCGAAAGGAGAACGGCAGCCGGAGCGGGGAGGCCCCGGGATCGCCAGCTCGAGTCGGAGAGCGAGGGGCCCACCATCGGGACGTGTGGTGGGGACCGCTTGGGCCGGCGCCAACCCGGAAGCACCCTGGGCACCCTCGGCCTCCGCGCCCCGTGCCCGGAGCCCCCGGACGAAGTGTTCACCCTCCTCCTGGTCGAGGACGAACCCCAGTCGGACATGTACCGGATGGGAGCGGCTGAGCGGGCGCGTTCTGGCCCCCCTATGCGCCTGGCACAAGCACATGTACCGGCTTGCCCGCCAGCACCTCCTCTGCGCCTTCGCGGGCCCCCCCCCGTGCGACGAGATCGGGGCCCTGCAGGTGGACGGGAGGCTCCTCTGCGCCTTCCACGCGGCGCAGTCCGCCGGCCCCCCCCAGGGGCGGCCGGGGGAGGGACTGCCGGCCTCCTCGAAGGACCCCCCTCCGGGCCCTCTATCCCCGCTGCCTCCCATCATCCACCTGCGCGATGCGGTTGGCCGCCTCTTCCTGGGCCACATTCGCCGCGAAGAGGAAGCCCTTCGGGGGTGTGGGAAACAGCCCCCGGCCGAGCACTATCTTGTCTTCCGGGGGGAGGGGGAGGAGCCGCCAGCAGGCCACCCCCCGGGTGGGGCAGTGGTCCACCTCGCCGCCCTCGGCCTTCGCTACTCCGTCCCGATCGGTCAGATCCGTCACCCGGGACAGGCCCTCCCCCCCCCCCCGGGAGGGATCCCTGCCTGGTTCGTCGAAGTGACTAAACCAGAATGGAGCGCCCTGACAGAGGAAGGGAAGACCCCCTCCGGAGGGGCAGGCGGGGTCCAGGAGGTGGTCTTGCTGCTGAACTCCCGGGAGCTGGACCGATGGCGCCATCGGAGTGCCCGGCGTATGGGCGAGGGGCCCGGCCAAGCCTCGGGCGGGGAAGAGCACCCCCCACGGGGGAGGAACACCCGCCGGGGAAGCTCACCGCGCCCTCCGGCTCGTGAGGGAGGGACCCCCTCCACAGGCGCCTCCCGCGACCCGTCGGGGGAGCCCTCGGCGGTGGTCTGGCTCCTCGAGGCCCTCCTGTCCGCCATCCAGGACGGCGTTGGAGTGGAGGCCGCACTTGAGGCGGCCCAGGATTACTACGGCGAGGACCCGGACACCTGCCTGGCGTTGGTCACTCCGTGCGCGGAGGAGTTGGAGGCGACCGCCCTCCGCAACCCCGCCCCACTGGAGCGGGAGGAGCAGGCCGCCCTCGGCAAGCTCTTGCGGTACGCCCGCGAGAAGCGCCTGCTCCAGAAGGGGCAGGAGGGGCCTACCCCAGCAGGGAGACCCCCCCCGCCCTCACCGGCGCAGGCCCTCCAACCTCCGGGCGTCTTGGAGGGGGTCTTCACCAGCCTCCCAGAGGGGGAATACCGCGACACGCGCCCCGCGTCGTCCGGTGGCTCGAACCCCCTCCCGCCCGCTGCGCAGTGGGATGCCATTCACGGGATCGCCCCACCGAGGGGCACCACAGGGCGCGCCGGGGCAGGGGGGGAAGGGCAGGCGGGGATTCTCACTGACCCGAACACCCGCCTCTTGGTTCAGCACCTCAACCTCTCCCAGCGCATGGAGGCCGACGACTCCAAGAACGTGGAGGGCTCCCTGGGCTACCTCAAGAAGACGGAGTGCCGGCTGGCGGTCTACACCGCCCGGGGGTTCAACGCCTTCTACGTCGCCCTTTGCCCGGGCCTCGTCGGAAGGGAGCTGTGCGACGCAGCCCGGAGGGGAGGAGACGGACGCTGGATGATCATGCACGAGGGAGGCTGCCCCATCCTGGTCGTGAACCGGATTGCCTACGCCATCGCGGGGGGCTTCTGGGGGGCCGCGACCTGGAACGGATGGCCAAGTGGTCCCTGGGAGCATCGGACTTCCCGCGGACCACTCGGGAGGAGTTCGAACGGTTCGTCCCGCGCTCGGACCCCGCCCACATGGAGAAGCGTCCCGCCTGGACCAAGATCCTCGCCGTCTGGACCGACCAGGCCCACCGGAGCATCACCACCTTCTGCCTGTTCTACGGCCAAGACCACGAGAGGGAGAGGCGGGACGCCTTGAGGAGGCTGGTGCAGCTCAACCTCGATGACCCCAACCAGTGGACGGAGGGGGACCTCTTCGCGATCTGGGAGGAGCTCCACTGGGACTGGTGGGACGGCATCCGACTGATCGTCCAGCGGGCCCTCCACGACCTCAGAAACCAGAACCCCACCGAGGAGGAGTTCAGGCTCCACCTCCTGGAGGGGCCGGGAGGCCAGCCGCGATTCCAGATGCCCCTCTCCTTCCAGCTGGACCACCCCAACGGGTTCTTTCGGGCCCGGGTGGTGTCCCGTAAGTTTTGGGAGCAACGGTCCGCCCTGTCTGCCCTCTCGCGGACGAGCAGAGCGAGGGTGCCACCCCCGCCCCCGGCGGGACGCGCCGGCCAGGACGACAACCCGCAGTGCCCCATCGGCGCGGCCCTGGAGGCGGAGGAGCATAAGGCGGCCCTGGCGGGTATCCCGAAGAACCCGCAGGGCAAGAGGATTTGCATCTCCTTCAACTGCCACAGCACGCGCTGGCGGGGGAGCGGCTGCCGGGACGCCCACCAGAAGATCAACGATCTGAAGGGCCTCCCCATGGAGACCAGGTTGCTCTTCTTCCGCTTCGGAGGGTTCCACGAGCTCCCCCTCGTGACGCCCGCGGCGGTGGATGCCCGCATGGCTGCGCTCCGGAAGGGACCGAAGCCCCGCCCGAGGACCCGCGGCGGGCAGACCGCCAACCGGGGCACGGAGACACCCCCAGGGGACCCCCCACCACGGGGAGGGGGGAGCCCAAGCAGAGCGCCACACAGGCGCCCGCCCCGGGGGTGCTGGCGTGCATCACCTGCCCGCGCCGCACGGCTTGGGGCACGCTCGACTTCGGCCAGCACCTCCACCCCACGGGGCCCCATGCCGACCGCATGCGGGAGAAGCTGGGGCTGCAGGAAGGCGAACCGGAGGGGGGCAGTGCATGCTCCTGAGCACCGCCGCCTCCTCGCTGTGGCGGCAGCACGGCGCCCCCCCTCATCAGGAGGAAGTGCACGCCCTGGCCACCCGCTACCGGGCGGAGCTGCTGGAGGCGGCCGGCGATGCGCCGCCGGCCTCCAGTTCGCCCCTGGACGACGCACTCCGGGCGGGAGCCGCCGTCCCGCACTCGGGATGAGACTACCGAGAGTTCCCTTTACTGGGAGGCCCCGCCCTCACCAGTGTCGACCTCCACGTGCGCACGCTCCAGGACTCCTACCTCCGCGAGACGCGGATTCCCAGCCGCGCGGGCGGCGACCCCCCCGACGCCTGGCTGCTCCCCAACCAGGGGCACGCCCTCGCACTGGGGCCCACGCCGGAGGCCTTCACCTGGATCCGCTACCGGGACGTGTGGCCCCGCCCGCGCCAAGCGGAGGCGCCCCCGGCCCCAGATGCCGTCGGCGAAATTCCCCCCCCCACCCAAACCCGCAGGGGGGGGTAAAGGGCCTTCGGACCCTCAACTCCAGAGGGAGGAAGGCGGCATCGGCGGGGCATCGCCCGGAGCCGCCACGGACGCCCCAAGCGGCGAGACCTGGGGGAAGGGACCAGACCCGCCACCGCGGAGGGAGACCGAGGGGAGGGGGCCCCCGGCGCACCTGGACGCGTTCAACCGAGCCACACAGGCGCTGGAGGAGGCACGGGGCCAGGACATGCTGGACTTCTTGGGGAAGGACGAGAAGCACGGCGCCCGGATCCGCACCCAATGGTACCGTTACGCCCGGAGCGTCGGAGCGGGGTGGGAGCAGGCGGAGTGGGGGAACAGGCGGAAGTACCCCCAGCGGTTGGTCGACACGTTCCTGAGTGAGATGAAGAAGGGCACGGTCTACCCTCCGCCGGACTCCACCTTCGAGAATGGAGGGAGAACGACCAAAGGGGCCCCCATCTTCGGAGAGAGGCCGAAGGGAGGGAAGGGGGGGCCAAGTGCGAGGAGGAAGAAGAGAGATCCCCACAGGGCGGAACGTCGGAGGGCGAGCGCGGAAAGGCCGCCAGTGGCCGGAGCAGGCAGGCCGGGGATGGGAAACCAGCCGCCGAGAGCCTTGCCCCGCGCCCCCCCACGGAGCGCCGGAGAGGCAGGGGAAATGAGGACACCGCCGGGGCTCGCAGAGGGGAAAGCGCGAGCGGCGGGAGGGGGGGGAGCAGGGCCCCCCGGGACAGCCGCCCGAGCCGGAGGGACGCTGGGGCCTCCGAGCCCCCACGGCGGATCGAGGGGTCCCGCCGTCGCTCGCCCGTCAGCCCCCGCCGCGACCCGGGCCGAGGAGCGCACGCCTCACGGGGCCCTCGACTGGGAGAGCACACGCGCCCCCGGAGCGCGGGGCGGCGGGCATGCCCAGAGGAACCAGACCGGAGGGGAAGGGTGGAGAGTCGAGCCACTCGCGAGCGCTCCCCGCGCCGGCGAGGAGGGTCGGGGAGCAAAGCTGGACCCCGCCCGCCGCCGGCACCGGACCGCGCGGGCGTGCGGCGCGTGTCCACCCCCAGGGGCTCCGTCCGGCAGGAAGTCTCGCTGGGCCCCCGCAGGAGGAGCCCCAGCCCCCCGAGGAAGCGGACCGGGGGGGAGGAGCCTGGGCTCCGCACGCGGGATTCGCCACCCCCTAGGTCCCGCAGCCCAAGAAGGGCCGAGCCTCCCACGGCAGAGCCGCGTGAGCCCCACCCTCCTGTCCAGCCGGGTGGCCTCTGGCTATGCCTCGGCTGCAGGAAGGAGGTGGGGGACCGTCGGAGTCGCTGCGAGAACTGCTCCGCGCACTTCCTGACCAAGGTGGGGGCGTGGTGGTGCCTGAAGTGCCAGAGCGGCCCCTACCACCTGGGGAGGAGAGACAGCTGCGGTGGCTGCGGCGAGCCCTGCCACAAGAGGGAGTGGCTCCTGGCCGAGGTGGAGCGGATACGGCGGATCGAGAGGGGAGCGGAGGCGTGGGCCAGGTACACCGAGCGGAACCCCGAGGGGGACCGCGAGACCGAACCCCAGACGACCCTCACCCTGCAGGACTTCGCCCTGGGTCTCCGACGTGGGACTTCACCCCCACAGGACCGTCCCACCGGGAAGGGGAAGAGGCCCGGCACACCCCCGAAAGGAGGAAAGGGGCGTGGGCGGGGGAACGAGCCACGGGGCGGCCGAGGGAAGTCGATCCCGAGGGAAGTCTTGCTGGGGGAAGGGGAGTGGGTCCACGTCGCGCAAGCGCTGGAAGTACTACGACAACATCCAGCCCCCCCCAGGGGTGTGCCGGTACTACTGGAAGAGCCGCCCCTGCAAGACGCCGGGCTGCAAGCACCGCCACCACCACCCGAGGGCCCCCCCCGCGCCGGCCCAACCGGAAGACCGCCCGCCCAAGGACGGCTCCCCAGAGCGGGGGAGGAGCGGAAGCCTGGGACGACCCCGGCCCCGGGAGCGGAGCCGGGGCGCCTCCTCGGAAAGCCGGGGAGGGGATCACCCTCCCCAGTCCGGGCCAAGGAGGGCTCCCCCTCTGCGGCTCGGGACCCACCCGGTGCGGGAGGGGAGGCGAAGCCGGGCGTGGAGGACCCCCCGAGGGCCATCGAGGAGCGGAGCGTCGGAGGCAGCCAGCGCAAGCGGATCGCCGTCATCCGGCACCACGTGGAGGCGGCAGGCGGCCAGGTGGGAGGGACCGCGCCCAAACCCCGCGTGCGGCGCGGCATGGGAGTCATGGAGGTGCCCTGTGTCCACGCGCGGGTGGCCCCCCACACTCTATTCGTCGGGGCCAACGGGACCTCCCGCTACATCTGCTGCCACCTCTGCAGGATGGGGGCAGGCGCGCACCTGGTGGTAGCCAAGAAGCAGACGGAGGAGATTTGGAGGTTCCTGGTGATGCGCCTGATCTTCACCACGGAGGGGCGCAGGGCGCGGGCCAAGTTTCCAGATCCGTGGAAGACGGGACTTACGGAGGCCCCCTTGCCCCCGCCCCCAGACAGTCGCCTCGTCCGGCTGGTAATCGGAGAGGACCGAGACCCTGCCTTGGTCGCCGACCCTCGCGACCCGAGGCGGCCAGTCCAGACGAGGGAGCGTGCGGGAGCCGGCGCACTCACGCAGCGGGCATCCGCCTTCCTCGGAGGACTCTGGCCCGCGGGGCCCCAGGAGGAGGACGAACCCCCGCGGAACCGCCGGGCGGTCGCACACCGCGACCACGCCACCCTGCGCGTCCCCGAGGGCGTTCCCGGCCACCTAGACTAGGGCGACAAGACCTTCCTCGCCCTCCTCCGGGAGTACCCCGAGCGGTGTCGCCAGCTCCGCCGCCGCCGGCAGGAACCCCGCCTCCACGCGCTGCACAAGTTTCGGGATTGGCTGCGGGAGGAGTCTGCCTCGGGGAACCCCGGAGCCAGTCCCTCTGACCCCAGGGGGGGAGGAGACGGAGGACGACCCGGCGGACTTCATCCCGGTCGGGCAGGAGGCCTCAGGATGGACGGTGGAGGGAGCCTCCGCTCCTCGCGCCCCGCCTGGAGCCGGACACCAACCCGCAGCTCTTGGTCGCGGTCGACACCGCCAACGGAGGCATGACGTTCCATGGGTCCGACTTCCGGGTCAAGTACCTGCGGGTCGCCCGCACCCTCGGACTCGACTTCATAAGAGGCCTCCGGGTGGACGAGGAGCCCCACCTGTTCCCGGGACTCGGGCAGGGCAGCGCCCAGGCGCGCCGGGCCTGGAACTTCCGCCTGGCGGCGAACGGGAGGGAGTACACCATCCGTTCGGCGGAGCTGCGTGGTGCCGACCTCCAGGACATGGACCTGGCCCTGGGGGTCCCAGACTAGCAGTACCTCGGGATGGACATCCTCCACTCGCAGGGGGTTATCGACCTCTGGGAGCTTGGCGCCCGGGGGCTGCCGATCGTCCAAAACGCGGCAGGCCACGTCTGCTACACGGCGACCCTGCCTGCCCCCCCAGGGGGCCTGCCTGCTCGCCCCGGACAGTGGAAGGCCTGGCGGGACCCGACCACGGAGAGCCTGACCCTCTACCCCTTCCCCGAGGGCGGAGCCCCCTCGGGAAGGGGGGACGCCCCCGCAGGCGCGACCGAGGTGGCGGGGGCCCCTCCCGCGCGCGCTATGAACCCCCTGATCAGGAAGCCGTGGCGCAGATGCATAGGGACCTGATGGCTACGGGCCGACCGGAGGAGGCCGCCCTCATGCTCAGGCTGATCCTTCAGGATGAGGGACCGCCCCCTGATGCGGACGCGGAGGACGGGGTCGGCGACCCCCGGGCCCACACTCGTGGGGGGCCGACCCTGGTCGTCCGGGGGGTGGAGAGGTCCCATGCCAGGACGACGGAGGGGTGG